CTATAAATTGGAGCGCACAAGAGAACCATTCAATCGATTTCGTTTTATTTCTTGTGAATGGTTGGTCCTGCGGGAGAGAGGGGCGATGCATCCGACATTTATATATTATATACAATGATTTTGAGCTGTGAATCTCGATCAAAATCAATTATCTGTTCGTTCACATTAAAATCAGTCTGATAAATGCATTAATGCTGTTTTGCGCATTTTCTTGTGACCACTTCGTTAACTTTGTGCGGGATAAAACTTTTTTCCAAGTAATTCAAGTGACGCACAAAAAATACTATGCTTAAATTCATCACTTTTTTGTCATCGTGATGCAAGTTGTTTTTTTTATTTGTTGCCAAATGCATTTCATCTTCAGATTCAACATTTCCAACTGCTGTACATTGTATTCTCTTCTATTACTATATGCGACATTAAACATGCATTTTTATTCGTTTGTTTTATATGTTTATTTCATGTCTTTTGGTCATATTATCATGATGATGCTCTCAATGCCAACCCATGAGCTGATGAATTTTATAAAAACGATATTTGCAAGGCTATTTCCACAAATTGCTATGCTTGCCATCCAAGTGCTCAAAAACGGTAACGTTTATGTAATCTCACATGGCTGGGCTATAGATTACATATGTCGCTATCGAAAATGGGTCGTTGATGGTGCCAATAAAAACGAACCATCAAATAACAAAAAAAATAAAATAAAACAAAACAAACAACAAGAAAACGAAACGATTTCAGAAAAATGGATAATGTTGAGATGCACGAAATTCATGCTGATTGGCAACTTGTAATAAATCATTGACGAAATGTAGTCGCTTCCATTCGGACTTGTATCGATCGTCGAATTGCGTGCAAAATAGTCGTCATATACAGTCACCGAGACCCGGAATCGTGAACATTTACACAAAGTTCACGTGGGACACGTTCGCTGCTTGGATTGTAAATATGTCTTTTGTTCTTTTGAATGCTCGGGTTCACAATGCGACAGTAATTGCATGACATGTGTAAATATGCTCGAACACAAATTTTCACCTGAATTTCCTTCAGTTTGAAGCGTTTAGATCGGAAGTATGGCACTCAACAGGAGGCCGATTCAACATACGCTCGTAATTGTTTTGACGAATTCAATATTGAATCGGCAAACTAGTCTATAGTGCTTTTGGCATTGCAAAATTATGTTTCACACCGCATGCAAAGATTCGGTTTTAATTTCGCTTCATTTTCATTTTGGAAAAACTGACAAGTGAATCGCTTTGAAAGAGCTATACATTTTCGGTGCATTCATTAAAGTGTAACAAAAAAGCCATGTGCAAGTATATTTCAAAGAAATACTCCCGGAACCGGGGCGGTAATCGTAGCTCAAACATTCTTTGTTATGTTCTGTTGAACATTTACTTTATAAGCATTTAATATTTTAGTTTCGTTACTTATGCACCATTGAATCAATTCATTTTTCACCATTCAGAGTAATTTTACAATTTCGAACGCATCAAATAGACCAAATCGTTTCCGCTTATTTTCATTTCGATAAATAAACAATTCTACCTTGTTTGATCTACGACGAGAGAACATTTTTTTGGGGGAATTGTAGTAGACGACTTCCATTAGGAGATGAATGTGATATCATTTACAGATATTAGCCGAGAAAAAAAGCGAGAGAAAATAAGATGGAAAAATGAAAATATTATTAGATTAAATTTCATGTTCACATTTGTTTCACTTTATCGGGATCCACTTTTTTGGACGCATTTATTCATTAAACATGAGCAAATTCGTTCGTTCTTTTTTTGTGGTATTCGCTCTTTGTTTACATTTCTGTCGTTTGGCCACCAGTAAAACGTTCATACATTGTACATGCTGAACGAAACGGCTGGGAAATTGTGTTTGATGAAACGAAATGTAACAAGAATGAACGGGTAAAAAAAGAGTTAAAACTTGGAAAAAAACTGACATAGATACATAGACAGTGAGTGGAAAAAAACAACTATCAATTTAATAATGTACATTACAGAAGTACATTGTGCAACCACTGGCCTGGTACAAGGTCCAAAACCGTCGGGGTTGGTCGTATATCATGCAATATGTGCTATTGGCATTTCACTAGAACAATTTGCACAGTGTTTTTCACATGTCTTTTCGTTCTCGTTTCGGTTGTTTGGTTCGTTGTCTCTCGCTCTCGTTCTGTTCGTAAATGGTTTAGACATAAAATTCATTAAATTCAATTTACAAACGTTTACCAGTGCACTCTCGCATACAGAAATGCTTGTGTGGCCTTTCATTCTCTCGCTGTCTCTGTGTTGCGAATGAAAATCGGTTTAAGAGGAATCGGAATTAATATGATGTAATGTATTCCACATAACACGTACGATATCCACTCTTCATCATGCTCGGAAAGCGGCGCACATGAATTTAATCGAGACATAGAGATCCTTTTCTATTTTGCCACTCACCATAGGCGCCATATTGCCCACTAACCAAAAGCCAACACCGTGTTCATCAGTTGATCGGCTTTTTTCCCCATCAGTTTTTTTTTGCTGTTGTTCATGTGTATTGTTCACAGTTATGTGCATCTATTGCTCATTGTGGTGGTTTGGCTATGGCTGGTTAGTAAATTCACTGGAAATTTATGATGTCGAATTTATGAAGTGTCCATTAAATCTTTATGGGATTCAAAGTGAAGTTTTGCCCGGATTGAATATTTTTGGGTATCCGTTTGGTACAGAGATGATGGATTTCGGTTGAGTGGTATATACTGGTTTGATAGTGTGTATATCCGAAAAATATTTGCTGGCAAAATAACATTTTTTTTTATGCGGAGCGGTAATTTAACATTCTCTACAAAATTGCATTGTGTACACACTAATATGTGAAAGTGGATAAGCTCGTATTCGTCTGAAGGATTCAATTCATCATTTCAAATCTACTAAATCTCATTTTGGGTACATTGTTTCGACAGCAAAATTGAAATCGAAGTACTTTGCATGGCGTAAATATAGAAATATTATCATGGAGATGTACATATCGTACTTGACAGAAAATACATATAGTGTATAATTTGTTCTTGCCAATTTTTGTTTGCCAACAGCCATTATATTTGGTTTGCAGACACCAACCGATCTATGCCTTGAAAATGATTTAAATAACATCCAGCAGCACAATTAAGTTGTTGCCGCACAAAATGTTCACAAAAGTTTTGCATATATATAGAATTTACATGCTCTAGAATTTATGCTGTTGTTTTCCATGTTGATGATGTGTATACCAAATATATTGCACACCACATGCATACGAGAGTAGTGCAAAACATCTCAAGAATGCTCGAACACTTCCTCGATGAGTGTGTAATGTGAGAAACCAATTGCTTGTCGAAAAATCAAAAATCGTTGCGAGCACAAAAAAAAAAAACAAAACACAACTAATATTCACCCTTTCATCTCTCGACATCATCATTATTTGGTGCAATATTCGCATATAGTTTGACGCTCACAAGAAATTCAGACCGATGAAAAAATGGAATGAAAAATATTTGCAATTCCGTCAAACATTCCCATCCCGTTTGTCGACGATTTTGGTTTCAAATTTTATGTTTGTGTATTTTTTCTCTATCTCATTTTTTATGTTGTTGCTGCTAAAAAAAACTTTGAGCGGATTTGTCTTCTCGATTTTATTCCATTATTGATTCAAATTAAATTAAACTGTCAAAGTTTTTCGCATGGTTTTTTTTTCGTTCCTTTTCATGACAACTTCCGGCACTGTTTTTCTCTCGTTTGCTTTGGTTCACTCAGTTGCGTTGACGATGACAGCGATGCATCCAGTTGTCATTTTTTTCATCGTAATCAAAAACAAATTTGTATTCGCTGAAAAATATTTTCTCGATACAGATAAAGGGATAGAGAAAAATGAAAAAGAGAAAATGATGTTGTTCATGGAACATTTGCTTGTATTCTTTGCATCCGTAACCAATAAATAAAAGCGAACAAACTACGCACATAAAATTGTATGCACAAAATCAACGTAAAAAAGTAAGAAGAAATGGAAAATGTTCTGCACGTTAAAATGGTTTGAGAGATATGCAGCAGCAGAAGCACCATCAATAGCGGCAATGGAAGAAATTCACTTCATTTACATATACGAAATAAAGTTCAAAGTGAAATGCAACGAGATAAAAATGGGATGGATGTTGTAATGCTATTGTAAAATCGCGATGGGAGCCGTTTACTTTTCACTTTTTCGTTCTCTTCTTCACTTGCTCTTCGATGGAAAAATTATTTCTGAAACGGAAGACTTCGAAGCGGCAAAATTAGGAAAAGCACTTTGTGCCCGATGAGAGTAGAGTCGATGAAAGCAAAATATTATTTTTGTATGTTTGTGAAAGCAACGAACGAAAAAAAAGATTCCCTCGTCATTTGGTTTGTTCGTTATGAAAAATCTTTATTTTTTTTTTTCTTTCAAAAAGATCAATTTTTTCTTCATCATAACTTCAAGTCGGAATTTTGTTGATGGAAAGAAGCATCTGCGCTTGCATTAAACTTTGTTTGCGAATTGTACACTCATACCACGTGCTGAAGCATAAGTAACAAAAGTAATTTGTTTTCGTGCATTTACAAGGATTTGAGAGAACAACACGTTCGGATTTAACTTTGGAAAATATCGCAAATTGTCATTTTTATAAACTTCAAAACTAAAACTTCTCAATCTAACAAAATTATAGTCGGATTTCGCATGTCTAACTTCTTCATTGAAATGCCACTAATGCATTTTAAATCATTGCGAATGCTTGGTGCATCGATCGCCACATGGCATCGACCAAAAAGATAAATTGAATACTCTGAATTTTGGAGCTGTTGCAAAAGTGAATGAAATCGGTTTGATCGTCCCACACATAAATGGTGTGCATTCTCATTTTCCAAACAGCAGGATGTTTACAGTATCAAAAACTGGCGACAATCGGTAACTTTTCTTTAACAGCAAAAAACTTTGTTTGTGTCACTTACCTTGTTGGATGAGCGTGCCAGCGATGGTGAAGGTGATGAAGAGACAGTTTGTTTTAAACATTGTCGACTTTCGCCCACAACATTGTTTGACGAACGGAAGCATTGTTCGTCTGCATAATTTTGGTTGTTGAAATGACGTTTATCGTCGATGGTCATTTCCGATGATGCGGATAACGATGAAAAGCCACTTGTAACATTTACGTGCTCGAAACTACTTGAATTCACACTACCACAATGGTCGTTTTGCTGATGTTGCGAATGTACGCCACTTACTTTGTGTATATTTGAATTGGAATTTGACGTCATTGTTGCCAGTGTTATCGGTGCTGTTGCTGTTGCGGAATTTAACCGTTCATTATGAGAATTTAATTTCGATGCAACTTGAATTTGTTCGCAATGCGGTTCGGGCGATTTTTGTTCAAATTCAATACTTTGTTTTGTGTGTTTGTCTTGTCGCGGCGAAGACAAGTGCTTTTTGGACGGCTCAACATAATAAAATGGATGCGAATGATACTGTTGTTGCTGTTTTGACGATGGCGGTGGTGGTTGATGCATTTTTTTCGATATGACAGATGGTGATGGCGGTGCCATCGTGTGTAAACGCTGTTGAATTTCTTGCGGCTGTTGCCATTTCAAGCATCCATTGACTTTTTCACTATTATTTCTCAAATTAAATTTGCATAATGGTTCGCCGACAGAATATTGATGATTCGACGCTGATATTGTGTACATTTTTTGAATACTGTCAGATGATGGTGGAGCGTTTATTGCCTGATAGACATTCTCCACCGTATCTTTGTCATTGTTGCCATTTGTTTTTGTTATTTGAACATCATCATCGCCATAACGTGCATTACCGTTTTCGACACGTTTCATCATATTTTCACCGTAAACATTTAAATTGTTTTTCGTCGAATCTCTGGATAAATTTCCATTTTTTTCATAAATTCCCTCGATGGTGTTATTATTGTTTGTTGTCATTCGGCTGGCCGGTGTTGGTGCTGTTGCTGCGGTTGTTGAACCGTAGATGCCATTACGTTTATCGTTGCGCGGCGTTGGCAACGGTGATTTGGGACCAGTTTTTATGTAATACCAATCGCTCAATTGTTGTTGCTTCGCTAAATCTTTGTCAATTGTTGTTGAGGACTGTGATGTTTTCGGCAACGGTGGCCTTGGCGGCAGATTTGGCGTAATTAAATCACCATTTATTACTTCAGTTTCCAGTTTTCGATCATTGTGCACATATGGTTGGCGACATTTCGGCTGCAACATACAATTATTCCCATTGAAATAATTGCCGCTGTCACTTAGTTTAAGTGTCTCTAGTGCATAATTGTATTTATCAAGTGAGTCGTAGCTCGAGTACGAATCGGGCCGACCTAAGGGAAAAGGAAAAAAAATATATGTTGAAAACTTTACTTTACCTCAAGTATACTATAATTAAGTAGAAAAATAGCAAAAAAAAACAGTTTTCTTCTCGATATCATCAGACAAAGGCTAATTGGATGTGACACTTAAAAGCCTTTCGATTTCTTTAAAGGTTATTCTCTCTCGGTTTACTTGAAACTTTCTAACTAAATCAATATCCAATTATATCTACATAAGAAGCTCATTTTTTTCTCTGCTCAGCAGCCAAATTGATCGAACACTCGCTTTTAAGATTGAACAAGTGCATTTTTTTCAACTAAAAAAACTCGCGAAAAATTACTAATTTCAGAACAAACGAGTTTTGACCGAGTTTTCGATCCTTTTTTCTAATATTTTGCATTATTTTATATAAATTCATTTAAACAAAAAGTCAAATCAATCTACGGCATTCCAACGAAAGGAATTCATAATTTTTTGTGAAATATTGAAGCAGTTTATACGTTTGAATACTGTTGAAAAACGCTCAAATTTAGAAAGAAATTTTTTCAACATTATTAAAAAAAACTTGAACGTAACTGGTACCTGTTACAAGGAACGGAATGCAAAACTTTTTAAGTTTGTTGTGCTAGATCATTTTTTTCTCAGAATTAATTCTGATGTTATTATATTCAAACCATTTAAATTTCCTTGCTATAATATTTTATGGTATTTTTCGTTCGTTGAAGATTCCAACGGTTAGAAGGCACCGGAGAATGAAATGCCACAATAAGTATGAGTAAATAAAATAGAGTTGTAAAATAAACTTCGAAAAGAAAATACCAAATGGAGAATGGGGATGTTGTTCTCATGTTACTTACGAGCAGCAAATGGGGAAATGTAGAAAAGCTCTGCAATCATTTCGCTTCGAAAAATGTCATGAACTGCAGTTTTTTTTTGTTTGCCTTAAAAAGGTTGATAATAAAAATTTCATCGGAATGAGAACGGAAAAAGAAGCCAGAAAAATGACACTGCATGTATACGCTTGGCACACGGAACGAGAAGTCATTTTGTGGGAGAGGCAAAAACAATTATCAAATTTTGATTTTCCGGCTGCATATTGTGTAACATTGTTTGTCGACCGAAATCTTGCTTGTTTATTTAAATGAGTTGTATTCTGGTTTACAAAAATGTTTGCCATTTTTTTTATTCATCGTATAAGTACAACAACACGATAAACATACAATGTACAAACCAGAAGAGAAAATTCTTTACATAAATGAATGCTTGGAATGGAAGTAAACATATTCATAATTTAATTGGGATAATTGTGAGCAGACATAGAAACGACCCAGATGCAGATGCGAAGCAAATCCAAATTGCACGTTTTTTGTCTTAATTTCAAACTGAAATTGTGACAATGCGGCGGTGAGACACCAATTTGAAAAGTATTTCACTTTGTAATTGCAAAACTCATCTCATGAAAATAAATTTAAAATGATGCAACCGAAGTTAGTTTTTAAGGTGTAAAAACCATATATTTTTTGCTGGATTCAGTTTTGTGGAAAAGTTTTGGCAATTTGTACACTTTTTTTCTGGAATTTTTTCAAAACTACAATTTAAACTTTATCAAAAAATATTGTTGGCTCGAAATTGGGACTGTTGTCTGATTAAAATATCATTTTTCGTGGGACATAAAAGCATTTTAGCTTCATTTTATTCTTTTATTCAAACAGAGTGTAACAATTATTATTGTTTAGAAGCGGAAACAGAAGTGGTGGCCCTTTTATTTAATTACTTTTTACCCTTTTAAATGGAGAAAAATGCAATGATGACGTGCGCTCTGTTCAAAATTCATTTAAATGTTGGAATTCGGTCGTAAAATTAGGACGAAGAGAGAGAGAGATATGTAGGAAGGAAAGCGATGGCACAGAACATAAAAAGCGATGTCGGAAGTTCTATAGCATGGTTGCTCATAAAAAGGCCCCCTTTCATCAAATTACATCAACTTTCCATAAATCGTCTTTGAAATTGAGTTTTAGATATTCATATTCTTGTCTTATTCTAAAAAAGCGGCCCATTTTCTTGCTTGTTTTGTATTAGACATTTTTACATCGCAATTTTATTGCACAGTGTTAAGTTTTTATGGACTAATATCATTGTGTACAATCAAAATTGATGGACATTTTCCATCACGCTCAACACTTTTTGGCCAAAATGCTGATGACTGTCGCTGCTGCTGCCACACGAAAAAAACACTCACATATACATTGCAGAGCAGCATCAACTTCAACACTTTCAAAAAATTCTGACCGTAGATTTTAAAAATCAAAACGATGCACAAGAAAAATGCCTATGAAACTAGTTTTTAAGAGAAATGAGATTTCCTTTTTTCCCGGCGTTCTTATTAAATGCAGCATTTTGAATTTGTCTGCTTAAGAAATGGCATAAAATTTTCGCTGAAATGGTCTGGTGGCAATATTATAGAGAGAATATGTTGAGTCAGCAATAAGCTAAAAAGAAAAATGCAGAAGATAAAAAGAACCAGATTCGCTGCACTTACATTTCTATTTTGGGCCAGATTTGCAAGGAATGTTAAATAGGTTTTGAGATGTGTTCACCTGTGACGACTATGGCGACGTCGACGAAGACAACGACAATGACAACGGTGGAATTTCTCAAGTGTGAGCAAAGAAATGGTTAAAAGAAGAGAAAAAGAAATTGCAAGAAGAATGGTTTTTGGGCCAAAAGAACAAATTATGCAACATAAGCCATAGAATAAAATGGGATTAACAAAGTAGACACATACGAAAGAGCTAGCGGCGAAGGTGAACGAAATGAAAAGATTTAATTTTGTATTTGGACCACGTCCCGACAATTTTGGGAATTTAAATAAAAATATATAATGCTGCGCCTATATGAAAGGAAAATGGCATTGCGATCTGCAGAGACAAAAATACTGATATGATATATGAAAGAAACATTCCAAACGGAGTAATATATTTGTGAAAAATGCTGAAAAGTATTCCATTCGGTACACAACAATAAATTCTCTCTCTCTCTTTTCTCTCTCGCTCACTCTGAGTATTGTGCAACGTACAACGTATGGTGTTGAGATACGAAGCATACTAAGAAGACGAGAGCAGTTTGGAAAAACATGTAGCCACGCTTATAAAAACGGAATACATAAATTTGTTCAATGTGGATGGCGAAGTCAAGCATCTTTTTTTTCTCTCTCTCTGCTCAGTACACTATTTCAGTGGCGGAGTAAAAAAAAAAGTCCCATAAAGATCACATACCGTGCACGAGAATTGGTAGTCATAGTTTGTGGTATGCAATTTTGCACATGTATATAATGCCACATAGTTAAGAATTCTCTTGTTGAAAAGCTTCAAATTAAATAATATTTAAAAGGCACTCTCAACTTGAACACATTCGGGAACGATAATAAGCTAAAAAGTAACACAACCACCACAAAAATACTTTATAGAGTAACTCATGGAATGTGTAGTACGGATAGAAGCCCGGGTATTGTTTCATATTCACAGTATAATAATTTAATTTGTGGAAACATTCTTTTTTTTGGCAAATTGCTAACGAAGTAAGATCTCTTAATCTCTTTTGACATCGAATGCAATTTATCCGGTAAAAACAAAAGCGAGAAATGACACTTTGTGAATGGCAAAACCAATTCATATATTCATCAAATGAACTTTTTCCATCCGTGCCGAGAGAATAGCGGCAACGTTACAAAAACAACGCACACACACACAAAATAACGATAAAGAGAGAACGAGGTAAGGTAAATATGAAATCTGTCATATTCATCAACGTAACGTTATGTGTTTAATTAAATTCCTTAGGTACTTTGCGCTGAATCTAGGTTTTATGTGTTCCGTTTGGGATATGTATGACACACGATAAGTTGGAATATTCTTCTGTCTTGTCTCGATGAAATTTTCGCAGCATTTCTTTTGTTTTTCATTTCATTCCGATACACACATACACACATTGATTCCGTATTTTGTTCGTTCAGATTCAACGATGTAGATTTTAGATAGAGGATGTCGAGCGCTTGATCTTAACAACAACTGCAACAGTTTTTTTTCAGCTGTCTGTTTCGTACGATGAGCATACCATTTTGAAAGAGAACACGTTTCACAACTGAATAACCATTTTCTGCAACGGTCGAAGCTACTTAATTTCGATTCTCGTCTTTCTATTGCCTGGCAAATGGCGCTTTGTTAAATTTATCATCGAACCATCGCATGGGCACACACATACACGCGTGTCTATGTGTGCATGTCGTTCCAATCCAAATGTAAAGTAAATCCGTATTTGATTTATAAGCGATCGTAAGTTTTAACGACGTTTTATGTCACACAATTTACGCTACGCCAAATATGTGCCAAAGTGAAGGTTATCGATATGGCAAATCTGCCGAGCGCATGAATCTCGATGAGCCGAATTCTCTCACGAATGCGACACAGATCGTTGTTTTTCATCTTCACCAAAGTGAATCTCTTTGGTGCTTTTTCTCTCCTTCAAAAATTGATTTTTTTTTCTTCTTTTATGTGATTTATGGATCTTGGTAACAGCACAATGCGAGGCTTGCAAAAGCTTACAAACTAGTTTTTTATACGGTTGTGATCGAAAGCAAATCGAACGAAGAATTTTAAAATTCAAGTTTGACATCGATGTACAATCGACAGTTCGTTTTAATTAACCGCATTGTTGCAGTTTGTTGGAACTACTTACTCAGATAATTGGCTGGTGATGGTGGACTAGAAATGCTGCCACAACTAATCGAATCCAAAATTCCATCCAAACTCATTGCATCGGTTGATACGTTTAACGGTGGCCGAACAATAGCCGCACTGGATGCAGACTGCTTCAGTAGATACTGTGGAGAAATTTTCGAATAAAAAAAGACTCAGATTAGATTTAAAGTAAATTTGCATTGGCAAAACTTTTCAGATTGATTCAATTTTAACAACGCATCTCGACGACTACATGAAGGGTATGCTTAACATTGCTTATTTTCAATGCGCTTTTTGCGACCTAAACTTGCTCTCTCCCTCTCCCTCAATACTAACTCATTCTCTCGGGTGGTGAATATGTGTCTGTTGTGGTATTCACGACAATTTATGAACAAACAAAAGTGTATCTCAATTTGTGTTGAACTATTGAAAATCAAACAGAGCCAAAGTTTTATGAGCTGCTCTATGAAATCTCAATTCCGGTATAAATTCATATGTACTCTCTGTACATGAAAACGGGAGGGCTTATTTGCAATTTTACGCATGCTTTCCAATGTGATAATTCAATTTCAATTTTAGGAGGTTAAACTTGTGCCTGGGAAGAATGCCAGTTCGAAGAGACAGAAAGAGCGAGATAGAAAGTACTTATCATCGATGCAAAATTATATATGGTGTGGTAAGAACGTGGTATTTTGCTCTCGACTTAATCGATTCTCATGTGAATTAACTTCGAAGAATGGATAATATCGAAATGGTTGTGTGAATAGTTTTATGGCATGCCAGAAAAGTTTCGATAATTGAAATCAGCTCAATCTCATTCACAATGGGTAAGCGAGAGATAAAATATGATATTATGCTGAGATTTAATTAATATAAATAGTAAAATGCTTTTGTGTGTGGCCGTAATTCGACTTCTTTGATTGGAATATTTGCAAAATCCCACCAGACCGAATGTGAAACTTCTATCAGCGCAAACATTTGGCCATAAATTTTCTGTTGAATGTGCTATCGTTTTGTCGGTCTCTGAAGAAAAATTGCGTTAAAACCGCTTGCTGAAAAGCCATTCATGTCAAATGATAATATCTGTATAGGCCGTCGAAAACCATCACACTTCATCGAGATTTCGATCAGTAGTCGGTGTGATTTGGCGTGCACACAGTTATCATCAAACAGGTTGGGTGGGACCATCTATCACGACTGAAATTCGGTTGAGTGTACACCAAAGTCATCAATCAACAATAATATCTTTGATTCGGCTCATCGATAGAATCGAAGCATTTGTTTCACATTTCCACAAGTGAAACATGTCGGAGATATTTTTAGGCTGATGCGATTTCAAAATGTATTGTAAAAACCACAACAAAACTTTGTCTTTCCATCCCTTTTGGCCAAAATCGTTTGCACACGTCATCTGCATTCAGGCGTAAGCATTTACGAAAAGTATGTGCTTTCGATAAGAGTTTTGCTTACTTGTCTACCCTGACATTGGCAGGAATGCAACAACAATGACATGGCTATAACCATGCCTTGTATACGAATGACGAACGCCAGTTTTTCACTTTCGAACCGCAGAGAAAGTTCTTTGAAATCAATGTTGTGGCTTGAATTGAATCTATGTCGTTTATAGTCTGGAAATTTGAATCTGAAATTGAAACAGCGAACGCAATTGCGATGAATTTATGAAATGGCACGAAACCACTTGAATATTGATCAATTTCACATTTGATTTGATTGATTTAATAAAGTTCTTTTGTGGTTTGTTTCGTTTCGCAAAGAATTCTTAAGTTTTTTTTTCTTCTTCTTCTCTCCAATTGTGATGCCATTTCATATGCTCACACAAACAGTGTGTCGAATTGAATGACGCTTGAACCTTTCACAGTCAAGGTTATGGCATTTTTATTCTTTCAACAAAACAAACAAAAACTGCCAACGAACTCAATTTGGCAAATTGAGCGCATGAATGTTATACTTCGTAAATAAATCACCAATTGTTGATACGGCGCATAAAATTCAAAGTCATGCACTTGAAAGAACGTTTGCCAAAAGTAGTTAAATTCCCAGCGCTCATTTTATTGATTGCAAATATTAAAAAACCAAATTATCGATGACATTGATGAAGGAGAAAAAGATTTTTACTCGATAGATTTTTACTTAGAAAACCAACAAAATGTGAATGCAAACACTCAAACCACCAACGTTCTCGCTCTACGATGCACAGTTTTCCCATTGACGATGTTCACATTGTCACCTTTGCAATCATTCATATTTCTTGTTCGCATATGTCTTCTCGCCAATGTTCAATATAGATTGGCTGTCAAATGGTGCGCTTGAAGTCATTTCTTTTCTCGCTTTATTCAAACCAATTCTTTTTTTTTACTTGAAAATGACATTAATTTTAGCATTCATTTGATGTCGAAGTTGTTCGTTTCGAAAGCCAATTGAGTGTGCTGCAAATTGAATTGACATTGAGCAAAGACAAACAATATTCCAAATACGCTTTTGACAAAATGCATTATTCGCATTTGCTTCAAAGTTGAATAGGATCAACATGGCTTTTGTGTCACATAATTGATACTCAATAATAGCGTATATTAGTATACATTTAACTGACACTTATTTCATTTCACAGGTGTTTGATGAGATTATGTATAATGTATAACACACACAGCATTCAATCGGCGAAACAAAACAACAACATAACATTATGTCATTTTGGCATAAACGGCAACAAAGCACCAAGAAATGAACTCAACAAATCTCAACAAATTTCACATATAAATTATTCATTTACGAAAAATATAAGTAAATAAATTGGTAAAACTTGAGCAAATATCGTAGATTAATATCAATTTTGCAGCTGCTATGAATGTGAAAGAAAGTGAATAAAGCAATAGGTGATTGAAAACCACTAGCGCGTATGGTGCATCACATCACTAACTAAATCGATGTGCATTCGAAGCGAAGAAGTGCGAAGGCGTTACTCATAGTTTGAAGATTTGTTGAGATGTATTGTGTTTTAAGTCGAAATAAATAAATAAGAGGAGAATAAAACGAAGACCGAGCGAGTAAATACGCCTTTTTGTGCTTATTTCACTCACACACAATGAACGTAAATATTAAATTCGTGCCATGGACCAACTTTGGAAGCGAATATATGAGTGGCAAAACCTCACACAAAACACAACAGCCAACTGATATTATTTATGTACTTGAATGGCACAATGTCGTAGTTCATTTAAAAAGCGAATGTACGGCTAATGCCTTACAATATTGATACGACTGCATCACATTGAACCGCATCACATAAATTTACTGCGCCTTTCTCCTGTAACAGCGAAAATTTCTCTCTTGGAATTGAGCGCCGAGAGAATACATCGAGATGATGAAAAAAGACAAAAAAACACAACAGCGATAAAACGTATTATTGAACGGGCAGAATTTGTGATATGCAAGTGCGACGTATTCCGCCGAAAAGTGTAATAAATCATAAGAACGAATCTGTGTATTTATCTGGAGAGTGGGTGTACGCGCAATGAGCATTTATAAATGTATGTTTAGGCGCGAAACACTCAATTACTAGCAAAATAAAAGAGTCGAGAACGAGGGACTGAGAATTCCAACTGGGAAATGGGCTAATGATTTTGTTATTGTTGTTGTTATTGCCAATGTAGATAACAATTTCTGGCACATTCTGAAGATGTACGTTCATTTCGATCATATAAGACGGCTCTATTAGTTCCATATTATGCCAGAAATCACTTCAAACGAAGTTTAACTACGCATTTACTTCAATTTAGCGTCTATTTGATTTGTTTTTGTTGTCCTTGGAATGTGGTTAAAATACCCACGCCATTACATTGGGATATTGATCTGGACAATAGTATGACTTTGATATGATGGTTGGCGTTCGTAATGGGCCTTGTTTGAAATGTCGCAGTTCATCTGTCACTATTATTGAAAGAGTGTTTGGCGAGACACAGTGTCTCGAGTGTATTTATTGTGATGTGAAATGGTGTGTATGTGTATTGTGTTTCGATGAACCCGTAATTCAAACAAACACTTAGAAAACACAAGTTGTCACACACTCATTGCGTTCAAATGCGACGACAAAACCACATGTTTGCCAATGTTAACACTGTAGGTAAGTGAATTTGATGGTGCAAAATCAAAATTCATAATTTCCAGACGCACGGATTTTCCTTTCATGTCAAAAAGACTGAAGACAAAAAAAAAACATGTTGTGCGTACACATGTTTGTATGAATGAGCATGATAAGCTTGGCTTTTGTGCGATGGTGCATAAGCACCGCATAAAAGCATTCAACGCGTTTTCAGTGAGGTCTAGTGCACATTTTAACCATTCTAACCGTGTTTCGCCGTGCCACTCTGGCTCGAATGTGTTTATTTGTTCATTAAAAGATTTCACTCGGCACATACGAAAGCGATAATTATAATTTATTCACTTCAGTTGCGAGAGACTCTTTTCGGCGCAATACGTGATCGTATTAAAGTTGTATCGAAGATTGGCGATATCGTCTTACAACAACAAACTGAAAAATACAGTTACACAAGTGGAGAGTGGGTTGAGTAAATGAATGGGTGCGAAATATGCGCTGCCGCTCAATATATTAAGCATACTTTCATGTTAGAACTCCAATACCAAGGGTGCAAAGGTTTATGTGGATTTTTCATGGTTGACGTATATGCATGCATTTTGCCGTTTGTTTTATTTGGCTACATGTAAGTGACTCAGAAGAAACCAACCAAATGTTCATCTTTTAATAAGATTTACGCGTTTATTAATTTTTTAGCCCGTAGCAATATTCAGCGTCACCAGCAACGGCTACATACGTGCTAAGCTGCAAAGTTGCTCACTTTCGAAAAAGCATAAAACATTTTCATGAAGTGTATGTGTGGTTGTGCGTTCAACGCTGTGGGAAATATCACATTTCACGCGCGCCGTCTTGCCGGTAAAATGAGCCCGACGATTGTGCAGACAATTGGGTTTTGCGCGTTGGCTAATAATAAGAAATTATACGGCGATGGAAAATAATCTTCACTTGGCTTCCACACAATGCCTTATCTCTGAGATGTGAAAACAAAGAATTAGAAAGAGAGAGAGAGAGAGATGGCGAAAGAGTGAACTCAATTTTGAAATTATGGAATCGCTTATGCTTTAACTTCTTATGAAGTCATTATGAATAAGCTTATTTAAGCACTACCGTTAGACACTAGTGTTCAAACACTTTTCTGTCTCTATTTACATAGTTTTACGAGGTTTCCCATCACTTCAACGCCGACTTTATCAAATTAAGCATTCTCTGAAGGTACTTCAATTCTAAAAGACCCAACCATTGAACAATATTCTTGGTCTTGCCGCATACATTTTGTAGAACGATTATTTTCATCGCGAAGGAAGTCAAAATGGATTGTGAAATGAAGTGAAAACAAGCAAATTGCTTACTTCAAAGAAAAATTCCCTGAAACCATTATATTTTGCATGGGGCGAATCACGCTAGTGAATACTAGAAAAACTAGTAAATCTAGTGCGAAGAATGACGTCACAAACGAAGCCAACTTCACACCAAAGGACATATAATTTATATGAAAAACTACTGAGAGCCAACTTCACGCACTAGAATTTTCTAGTTTTCTAGTGAATTTTTATCAAAAACTAGATGCACTAGAATTTAGTGATTGACCCCATGATATTTTGTATGGATAACTAAAGCACCACATAAATGTTGCACCCTTCGAAAATAAACATAATTCGCAAAATGGACGCAACTATAACAAAATTATTTGCAACTATTTGGATACAAGTAATTTTGTTGGTAATAGTGAACTTTTCAAGAGGCAACCAACTCAGTTGAACCACTTCCTTTGACGGACGAGTACCAATTTTTAGCCTTTTAAAATGTTCACAGACAAGTATGGTATGGCACTCATAATAATTGAATAAATAATGACAGTTACTTTACATTTCAACGTTCAATAAAGACTGATATTTCACTAAATCTGGTCCTTTATGGGAAAAATCAATCAAACAGATTTGATTAAATAAAAATGCAATTGATAAACTGTTACTTTTCAGCAGTAAAATGAATTAGAAAAGTAAGTTTAACATTATCATCGATACGCTACAATAAGCATTAAAGAGTTGTTCAACTTTAAATTCATCTCTATACCGCTTTTTCCAAAACTTGACAAACAAATTGGATACGTATCTCATGATATTGATCCACTCTCATCGAAATTGAGTGCATTTGTGAAAATGACCAACTCACGCATATTCAAGTTCCCTCTTGTTTTGTTTGTTTCATTTATAATGCTGGTATCGAAAATGTTTAAATGCATGATATCACTGTACGATTCTGATCCAAAGCACAGCCATTAAATACTTCAAATTTGATGAAACTTCAACTAATATTGATGCAAATTCGTTTGATCAAATGAATGGGTAAGAATAATCATGAGCTCCAAACATTATTTAAAAAAATACTGATACAAGACGATGAATTAAAATAAATGAGATACTAACTCGCGTTTAAAATAAATCTGATACTTGAAAGATATTGAAAATAAAAGTGGTATGTATCACATTTATTTTCAATTCGTTCAAGTATCAAATTTATTTTCAATTCTGGCTAGTATCTCATTTATTTTATCTCATTTGTGCATTATACCGAGTCTCCGAGAGTTTCATATAAGCCTTCCCATGTAGATGGTAAAAAATCGTGAAAAATGAAAAAAATAATCAAATTTTTTTTCTTCGATTTACAAATACTATTCAATTTTCTGTACCATCTGGTGAAATCAGAATGAAAAAAATCGCATTCCCCAGAAACTCTCGGAGACTCGGTATAATGCACAAATGAGTTAAAATAAATGAGATACTAGCCAGAATTGAAAATAAATTTGATACTTGAACGAATTGAAAATAAATGTGATACATACCACTTTTATTTTCAATATCTTTCAAGTATCAGATTTATTTTAAACGCGAGTTAGTATCTCATTTATTTTAATTCATCGTCTTGTATCAGTATTTTTTTAAATAATGTTTGGAGCTCATGATTATTCTTACCCATTCAAATAATAATAATAATATATATTGGGATAGGCCAAAATAAGGTTGAAAATAATTCGGTTTATATTGAGTCTAGAGTTCATTTAGGTCTGTATTATCAAAGGTGGAAAGTCTGTAAGCTGATCGGAATACTTGTAATGCAATCGGACTTTGGTGTTCCGTTGGCAAAGGAATCAAAGTGCAATCGATGCATGCAAATACAGATTTAATGGAGTTCGCTGGCGTGTGAGTTTCAAAGTTCACCACATTCGCCGGTCTTATTTCAATGATTCGTATTCCCTATATTATGTGTAATCCCTATATTCGATATATTTTGCGTGTTTCATTCGACAAACAAACTGCAATAAATCTATGAAATGGAATCTGGTTTCGTCGTACAGCAAATCAAATAGGTTTTGTGCAAAACGAGAAATGGTTTCGGTTGCAATATATTTTGAATTTTAACTCATTTATAGAATGGAATGTCTGTATGTCTGTATGTAATGTACCTGTGGTGGTGGTGCTTCAGATTCCTGGCTTTCGTCGCTGCTCGAATAGCTTGAAGATGAGTAGATGGTTTTCGGTCGTACTAACGGAAAATTAGTGACCGATGTTATTGATGCATCATTGTTCGGTTTGGTTGTTGTGTGTGTCGCTTGTTGGGCGAGCATTGTAGTTGCAACATGTCGTTGACGTTTCATCTTTTGTTTGCTAATGCGTTGCTCGCCATGATTACATATCGGTTTTGTGACATAGTCGGTGTGATTCTGGTCATACATAGCTGGTGTCGATAAATTTTTGTATGGTTCGGGGCTATAGCATCGTCGTGGTGCCGGTTTGGCTCGTCGTATTGGTATTCTCGATCGAAATGATGCTGATTTTCTTATTTGTGACATTTTCCATTCACTTTATTTTCACATTATTTGTACAAACGTTCAATCCATTCAATCGAATCATCCCGATCATGTGTGATATACATGGCTGCCTACAGAGAATGAAAAAGAGAAGGGGCAATATTCAAATTAATGCACTTTATCGATAACATTTGCATTGAGAAGCTAATCAAGTGGAATACACGCTTAAAGTACTATGTACACATAATATTCTGGCATTTTTGACGATAATGTCAGTCAAAGCAATACAATTCAAGACATCGACTTGGAATCACCTAAGCGCTTAGCCTATGTTTGAAACACAACATAAACATGGATGCGCTTCCAAGAGGCATCACATTATCAAGTCGCTTCATATCACATTTCTCATTATTAAACAAAAATATAGAACTACAACCGAAAAAGGTACATGCCATTCAACGGAATGTTTGAATGTACCATCGAACGGAAAGGATGTTCAACAGTCGACTGTAATTTCAAACTTAAAATACGAATCCCTTCATAACGTCAATCTTTATACATACACAAAAACTAATATAAACAACGTATTTGATGTAGTTTGCATAAACAAATAACAACAAAGTTTGAACCGTGCACACCATGCCATTGTTTTCATAATCTTCATCAGCCTGATACGAACAATCATCCGACTCTGATTGTTTTTAATATATTTTACGCTCACTGTCTGTTTAGACACAGCGTATCTAGTGTTGATGTGTAAATGGGAAAAGTTAAGTCATTTATTATGTTTACGATGCAAATATATGCTACCTTTTTTCAAATGGATACGTTTCAAACGTCGAAATGATGGTTATGGCATATCTAATGGTTTTGTCAACCGCATCAAAAATATTATTTGCATAGAAAATCCCACATGAGTTGTTTTACAAAATATTTAATTGAAACAATTTCTACCGGCGTTTTTTTTTTCTATTCACAACAATGTAGTGGCGACGAACATCTGAAAATAATTCGAATGGCCATACAGACATTTCTATGGCACATTGCATTTTCAAATGACATTTACATGAATATGCCATACTCATAGAAAACCCATTTGAAGTGTGTTTAAATGTCTTGCACAAATGAAAACGGTACCGCTTCAGACAGATTTTGGTTGTTTTTTTGCTGAAAATCGACAACATTGTATTCTTATGAAGGAAAACCGAAGCTGAACGAGCTTGCAAATGAAAAGTAAAAACGAACACGACGCCTGTCAAAGAATCCCCAGCACGATATCATTGGATTTCAACATCGGTTATGCTATTCACTGTCAATTGGCATCGAAGAAAAAACGAGCGCGGTTTTTTTTTATGTACATTTCTTTTGAACCTTTAGCAAATGAACCTCAGCAAATGCCCTCTGAATGAGCATGAATATTCACGGTACTCAAGACACCATCATTTTTCCCATTTTCATATCGCAAATGCATGTCGTAAATTGACGTTCAATTGAATACCAAATAATCGAATTTGAATTCATTGTGACACCGAAAGAAAAATACATATATCGAGAAAAAGAAAATATTCAGTCGCAAAAAAATGCGATAAAAGAGATGAAATTTATTTTTATGGTGATTTCACACAATCGCATTTATGAATCATGGTTCTTTTCATAGCTGTAAACAATTATTCTCCGATTGGCTTTTTCTGCTATTGGTTCGGGTAAAATCCTTATTTTCCATTTTGAATGCTTGTTAAACAAATTTTTCACAGCACAAAGACACTGCAAATGAATCTCGGTATTTAGATTTTCAATCAATAAGACTCGTAATGAAAAACATAATACAAGTTATATTTAAATGCAAAAACTTTTTAATTCAAAATAGAAATTCAAACGAGTTGTAAATGAATGCGCACCTGTTCATTATTTAGAACAATTAAATCGAAATGGAAATTGAAATATCGAAAAGTTGTTCTATTTTAATGACGAAATGAAATGGAATGGGAAGTACAAGTGAACATTGACGAGCAAGAAGTTGGAAATAAGAGAAGAAGTGAAAAGAAAACAAGTTGCGTGTGCAGTAATGAATGCCATCAAAATAACTACGGTGTCGGTGTTTCTTTAGTTGTTTTTATGGCATTTTAATTGAAGCAAAAATCGACACTTTCTTCTACTGTCATTTTCAATGGTATGTTTTTTTCTTCTCCAAAAATGCCGCCTTTGTTTTCGCTTCCGCTTCGATTTCCAATTAAAGCATGTGTCCAGATGAGGTGGCGAATGTGTGTGTGAGTGAAGACTGGAAAGAGAGAGTTTTCGGCCTTTCCGACCATTAAATTTCCATTATTCATAGTTTGACATGTTGTGTCCGCGCAATGCATTGTCGCCCAATGTCAATTTGGTCAATTTAATTACGCATAATCAATGGCAAATTTGCAACCAATCAACCTTTACTTCGGGAATAATTAGCAGCGAACAATGAAAAAAAGTGCTTCGTAATAACGTCCACTTGACGAATGAATTTTAATTAAAAGATGAAAATCGAAATTGAAGAAAACGGCTGCGACCGCCGTCACTGTTCAATTTCCAACTCAATGAATGGCACTTTGTAAGCAATAAATGGAACGCCCAAATGGATGCAATGTTTTGCTAATAATTTTTCGCGTGTGCATACGTCACTCTTAAATTGTTTTATAACGGTAGACCGCATAGAGTCTTTCATTACAAGCAAAATTATTTTTAATTAACATTTGACATTTAAACAATGTTTACGACATTGAAAGAAGAAAAAAAACAGAGAGAGAGAGAAAGAGGCAGTCGAAAATACGAAAACAAATTCTTTCGGTTTTTCATTTTATGGTCGCACTGCAACTGAAGTGAAATGAAATTTACGAGACCTAGGGGGTTCCGACTTATACGAATGTTGCATATGCGAGCGAATGCTTTATACATATTTTGCGAATGGAAGCAAATGATCACGCATACAAATTAAACACAGGAATGCTTACGTACAAATCACGACAATATGTCACATCTTGCAAACAGTATGCGACATTCGCGAATGGCTTCGAATGAAATATACGAATTTTCATAGATGTTGATGCGAATGAATATACTTTATTTCGTATATTTTACGTATGAATAGGAAAATAGGAAAATGTTTATAATTTGCGAATAAACTTCCATTCGCGAATAGTAGAAAGCCCCTAGTACGAGACCGATGCAAAAATGCAGATAACCCTTTAAAAAGAGGTCAACCGTTTGAGTTCTGGATTTTATGCATTTGGTTATTTCTTGAAAATTTTATTAAAGTTTTTTTCTTCCTCATTTATTAAAGATTCTATTTAATCTGTCAAACAAATCATCAGAGAGAAATAGAAAAAAAAATCTTGTGCATCAATTTAATGAAATTCAGGAGGTGGATTAAATTGTTTTTTAGCCAAACAGATGGAAATGTGCACAGGGAATGATAAAAAAGTGTAAAACATCGAATCGATTGAGGCTCGACGTAATTTTCGCTTCAGCGTTGGCAGTAAACTGTCAGCAAGGAAACACCTTCTCTACATTGATAGTTTTCACATTAAACCCGTTCAGCATTTCACATCAATTACTTATTTAGCGAAAAAGAGACATAGAGCGCAAAAAAATATCGATTTAGTTTGAAGCTGTTGCAAAAATAGCTTGCATTCGATTAACATTCAAGACTGGCAATTTATTCCGTAAGAGAGAGAGAGAGAAAGAAATAAAGTGGTTGGTTCTTTGCGTCAGTGGCCAGGCCATTTGTTCGTTCACTTATTTAATGCCAAAAGATCTTTATTATTGGTGGTCGTTGGTAATGCAACACGATTTCTGTGCTCGCTTCAACAACAATAATTACCTGCTTACAAAGTTTTTATCATCTATTCAATATATTTCATGCCATCGATACGAATACGGAGTGCAGAATATATGTGGAGTGGAGCACGTTGCACATTGCATACACTAACTTTTTCATTTGCATAAATTGTATGCATTGAATCGATGCCTTTACGTTGCTCACACATTTATACACGAGAGATGCACGTCGGCTCCTATTTTCTTGAGAGAAAGAATAGAAGTGATGAAACCGGTTTCAATTAAATGTGCAAACACAGAAAAGTTTTCTCTATCTCTCTCTTCCTCTATCTCTGTGCATATTTACGTTCAGTTTGCTCATCCATTCAGTTTGCATGAGCCGGTTTTTTCTTCTCCTTCTTCATTAAATAATAATACATGTGGGATTATTGTCACTGCATCATAACACCGTGTCAAAGTCAAACATAACATGTTTCCATGTTGCCTACGATGAGTATCCGATCGAAGTAATCAACACAACTTTCATATAATTTTAAGCAATTTACAGTGTTCAGCAGTTTGAATTAGATCGGAAATTGATGGGTAACTTCCAATAAAATTGCTACGAGATTGCATCATCACAGTGCAAACAGCTGTTCAAAAGTGTTGATGCCATCCAAAATGCTTCGACTAATTTATGACAACGAACTTCATCGTGTGTTGGGAATAAAACAAAGGTCAGAAATAAAATTGTTAAAATTAAAGAATAAATCAGCTTCTAGTTCAAAGAAAGACGAAAATTAGTGTTTGGCTTATGTCATCATCATTCAGAAGTGATATGACATTTGATCGATGGCCGAATTTAATATGAATCGATGTTCAATTTGAATATTAGGTTAATTGATATTAAATTGTGCGTGGCTCCATAAACCGTTCAATTAATACGAACGAGTTGAATGGCATCAGAGAGTGGCCATATTGAGCGATTATATAAAAAATCCAGTTGGCTGATGCTAATTCTCTTTTTTTGTCGTATTCCATTTTCAGTTAAAGTAGGATAATGGAATGATAATAATATTCAGTCCGCAGAAAAATTCCTGTTACACAAGAGAGGCCACCAAGTGGGGATTATGTTGGTAGAATAATATTTTATGAGCAGTATGTTCTGTCATGCGAATTATCAACCATATATTACATGTTTATGATTGGCGCGAGCATAACCAAATCGTCAATAGATTTCTGCAATTAAAAATAAAAAAACTCATTTATCGTCGTTTAAGTAATGAAAAGGTGTATTTTATGAGAGAAACCATGTTCATGCCGTATTTTAATGTGGAAC